TAACAGTGCACTCTTTAGCCGACTAGACCCTCCTGCACACAACCATCATTATTGCGAGGACACTTCCGTAGACGATATTGATAAACTCCTTCAGACAGCTGTTTCGTTAATACATAGCTCATCAGTGAAGGTAGATGTTGAATAAATATAGACCAAACTGCTATTATATAGGGTTTCCACATACAAAACTGAGGTGATACCTTCACTTATCACTCTTCTATATCGACCTCCACTAATTCTCGTGATCCTTGACTGGTCCTATATTACCCATATCGCCGCAATATCGACCGCTTGTATCGACCGCTTGTATCGACCACTTAGGCATTGTAATCTTTCGACTTTGGAGGGACTTAGAATTTTTCTCACCTAGTCTTGGTCAATATCCTATACTGGTTTTTTTATTTTTTTTTTTTACTAAGGCCACAGCTTCCAATCATGACATGCAAAGCAGCGGTGCAGCATCGCAGGCATGAATCGTGGACGTGGTGACGGGGTCTGATGTGCTCCACCGACCTAGGGTCTCGGCTTCACTGCACAGCAAACGCGTCGAAAGAAAACGGGGGCTAATAATTATCGGGAGATGGGGAGGGGAGATGGGGGGGGGGGGGGGTGAAGAGCTATGTGTTAGCGAAACAGCTGCCTGAAGGAGTTTATCAATATCGTCTACGGAAGTGTCCTCGCAATGGTCATGGTTGTGTGCAGGAGGGTCTAGTTGGCTAAAGAGCGCAGTGTAATGGTGGAGGTGACTCAACATTTTCTTCAATGGCCGAGAGCTCTGTCGCACTCTGTAATAATATGTCTGGTAATGCTGGTACAGTATTGATTTTGTTCAAAATTGCACAGCTGTTTCCTTCCAGAATGGTGTCAGTCCGGAAAAATGGGAAGGATTGAAACACTTTATATAAAAGAAAAAGGACCAAGGGACTACAAGTTATGCTTCAGGTACTCCCTCATTGTAACGAGTCCGGGTGGTACATAAACCCCGTTAGTAAATAGAAATCTGAAAGTACGGCTGAAAGTCTCAGCTGTGAAGGACGTTGGCGGATGTTCATGCATGTCAATGACGATACTGGCAAGACCATTGGACAATGTTATCATTATAACTTAGAACCTTCCAAGTTGGAAGGCTGTTGGAGTGCGTATCCAAGATGTGCTGGAGCTGTTAGGCAGTTAGTTGTAGAACGTCAGTACAGTCGGTCAGTGTTGTGCAATGTTATCGCATGAGCTGATTGTTTAGTTACTGATGGTGTTAGTGGACATTATGGCGTGACTTGTAGTTCCTTGGTCCTTTTTTCTTTTCAATCAGTTTTCCTTTGCTCTTCATCCGAGTCCATTATCGAAACACACCTTCATAGTTAAACCCTTATTTGAAATTGGACTCAGATGGTGAGCCAAGGATTAATTTATTTAGAAAAAGGGCCAAGGAGCCACAAAGTTACAGACAGCACCAGAAACTACTGGGCGATCGTTCTCGATTCCCTCCTGGTGTATTGAAATCGCTGGAGTCGCTGTTTCCTGGGTAGAATTTCAGCAAAAACATCATGCAGAAACTTGTTCAGCAGCACAAGCATCGCGTCATCCAGTTCGTGGGAACGCCGGGTGAAAATCCCTACAGCCACCTTTCTCGCAGTTGCTCTGCGCGCGGGAGATTCAAAGGCGATCGTCAAAACCGGGCCTATGGATTTAAAAAATCAAGGAAGGGCAGCGTAGCTTGAAGGACACAACAGAACTGTGGGTGTTTTGCAGGGTGGCGCCATTTCCGATGCACCCGGAGACATCAGCAGCGATGGAAACTAGAAGGTCCGCCCAAGAGATGATACAGTAGTTATCTATATACCGTTTCTTGGTTCATTTTTTAGTTCTAGTGCTCATTTGTACAAATGCTTGAGTTTTCAAGTGAAGCGCACATTTTAATAAGTTGGACCAAGTAGATGATAAAATCAAAATCAAATCAACGACCCATCAGCATAGTTAAATAGTTAAGCAATGCTGTACACAGCAAGCTGTTTCGGCCATAAAGGCCTCACCAGTACAGCTACGAGCACCACAGACATTAAGAGAGCACATCTTATTACTATTATTTATACAAAAGAGAAAGACCAAGGAACTACAAGTTATGCTCTACTGCCCACTAACACCACCAGTTACTAAACAATCTGCTCATGTCTTTCTCTTTTGTATAAATTAAACCTTGGCTCTCCATCTGAGTACATTATTATTATTATTATTAGTGGTGTGCACGGGTAGTCGGGTACCCGTGCTACCCATGAGGACCTCGGGTAGACGGGCACCGAATCGTACCCGAAAACCCGAAGTCGCAGATGACATCATGTAGAAAGAGTAGAGAGAGAGAGGTCTACAGTGCACGTGTACAAATAATTCACGCATGTCTACCCAGTGTGTAAGGGAAGGGGCCGGTGTGCATTGTGGTCTTACCATGGGAACATTACCCGATCGGGTACCCGTGGAAAACTACCCGGACCCGATACCCGAAGAAAATGCTACTCGACTCAGCTCTAATTATTATGATTTTTAGGAATGAGTTTGCTCCCACACTGGAGCTCCCGCTATTCCGCCGAATTGACTGACTCACGACTGCCATCCAGTCCAGAGCACACGAGAAATCCATCGAACCTTCGACTTGGCAAACCTGCAAGAAAGCATCACTCCCTGGTCAATACACAGTGTTTCGGGGATTTCACCCCTCATCAGTTGAGCTTGAGTAGGCTGAGGAAGATTGTGCCTGAAGAGCACCACTTATTTAGTGCTCTCCAGGCACAAACAGCACCAGGGATACAAACTTACAGAGACGCTCCGTTTCCAGCGCGACAAACACCTCCAGATAACAGCGTGAGTCAGTGTCGCTCCTGGAGGGTGAGAACAGACGTAGAGGACCCTGGGCCATTCACAACGCTGTCACCTCCAAACCAGCTAGTCGCCAGCCTGAGCTGGGCACAATAGAAGGAAATAGTGGTTGCAACTTCGGCGATGATACGTGGTGCTCTTCAGGCACAATCTTCCTCAGCCTACTCAAGCTCAACTGATGAGGGGTGAATTCCCCGAACCACTGTGTATTGAGCAGGGAGTGGTGCTTTCTTGCAGGTTTGCCGAGTCGAAGATTCGATGGATTTCTCGTGTGCTCCGGATGGCAGTCGTGAGTCAGTCAAGTGTCAAGTCAAGTCGGCGGAATAGCGCGAGCTCCAGTGTGGGATCAAACTCATTCCTAAAAAATCGTCGCTGAAGTCGCAACCTCTACTTCATTTTATTATTGTGCTTGTTCCCTTTAACCCTTTAAGAGCCACAGGAAAATTTCAAAATTGTGCATTTTTTCGTGTTCTTTGGATCATAGCTTCAGTTCTACTCACTCAATCCTCACAATCTAGGGCTTCCTGGAAAGGTCTCCGCGAGAGAAAGAGAATGAGGTCGATCATGATAGCCAGCACACCGTCTATCCAGCGCTAGATCGCAGCGACAGTACGAAAAATGCCCCAAATGCGTCCAATTGCGTCCCGCTCCAGATATTTCATTTTACTCGATCGTGGAGTTCCAATTTTTTCGCTGTGTACTCTTGACAATATCAAAAGTGAAACCCGTGCAAATTCGAGTAAGCCAGCTTGACGAAAAGTCTCAAAATTCTCAATACTAAAGTCGCACTGCGCGCTTTTGAAATTGCCGCGATCGCGGCTCAACTTACGAGTGATTTATCTCAGGAACCGTTGCTCGCAGCGCTTCGCGGATTGTTTCTCCCGACAGGTGAGAGATTTCTCTTCGCTCTGGATATTTCGATCACTGGATTTGAGCGAGATTGGACTGAGTTACGATCTTTTGAAGTTTTGCATTCAAGTATGGGGCGGCTCTTAAAGGGTTAACATCGCCAAGCCAGCTTGGCTAGCCTTCGCATAAGCCAAATGAACAAAAGAAAAGAGGAACGAGCGAAGCCAATGAGGAGCACACACGCATGCAACTGCAGGATAGGCAAAAGGGAATGAATAAGACAATCCTAAAAACACACCAAATGTCAGCTATTTACTTCAACGAGAAAGCTTGGAAGCTCAGGGCCCTACGCTATACTTTTTTGCCTTGATGACCTAGGCAAAAAAAAGCATAGGGATGTTATCAATTTTTTTTCAAGACATAACCTGGGATTCGAACCCGCACTTTCGCCCTGCATCAGGCATGCATCCCCCGATACACTTCGCATACATACTAATTCTTCCAAGTTGCTTCACGTTATGATCTTGCATTTGAAGGCCCTATTTGAATATCGTGGCCAGCTGTTTGTGGCCAGCCGTTTTGTTGGTACGGTACGATACGGGACAGGTGCGGGATAGGGTAATACGACACCGTCTACCACCTTGATGACCTAGGCAAAAAAGCATAGGGATGTTATAAATTTTTCAATTCTCCTATATTTTTAGGCATAACCTGGGATTCGAACCCGCACTATCGCCCTACATGCATTCCCCAATACACTTCGCATTCATACTCATTCTTCCAAGTTGCTTCACGTTATGATCTTGCATTTGAAAGCCCTATTTGAATATTGTGGCCAGCAGTTTGTGGCCAGCTGTGTTTGATGGTACGATACGGGACAGATACAGGATAGCGCCAGGCGTGACACAGACAAACAAAATACCAACTTAAAGCTGTGTGGACTCTGGCTAGCGCCAGACGTTACTGAAGTAACGTCTTCTGCATAGCTACAGGAATATATATAACTGGAAACGGCAAACTACAAAATGTAAACTGTTTACTTAAACAAAAAACACAGGAAAAGGATGAATTTAGAATCATTACAGCTGACGGTATATACATATTATAGTAGCGAAGTGACCTAATAGTAATACAAGTATACATGATAATAACTACAGCCGCGAACCATGGAGTGGGGGGGGGGGGCATTTTAGAGGTAGCTCGTCGCTCTATCGCCAGAGTGCTCAAACTCCGAAAATTAGCCGGCAATAAATGCTTTAAAAAGAACATTGATCTGTTTTGTTCAGGCTCACAGAATGGAATCTTTCCAAGATGAGCTTGTGGACCTGTGCGTACGGGACAAGGCAGAAGAGATCAAGGCAAAGCTTCTTGTGAACGGCCAGGTTACCGCACATGCTGCCAATGGATACCATCGAAAATCCGGAGTGTCATTTCTGGTGAGTACGAAGCATATTCTGTAAATCCGTCTGCAGCCTGCACATTTGCATTTCTTTTCACAGGCATTTCTTTTTCTATTGGCAAGAACGCCAGAGAGCGCATGTGGTGAAGGTGGAATTGCTTTATTGATAAACAGCCCGAAACCTGCTGCTTACCAAGAAAGGACAAATATATGACATTTACTGCAGAAGTATTCCGTCTGAAGTAATGTTCAACGGAATATGAGTATAAGGTACGCTATATTCGTTCTCACGAATGAGCCGGATCATCTCTCACTATTACCAGACATGTGCTGAGACTGTCGTCAAGGACATGTGTTGGGGTTGGTGTGGTTAGGTCTGGTTGTGCATTTTTGAGTGTGTGTGTGTGTGTGAGAGAGAGAGAGAAAGGGAGAGTGTGTGTGTATATGTGCGTGTGTGTTTGTGCGTGTGTGTGTATGTGTGGGCGTGTTTGTGTGTGAGCGTATGTGTGTGTGTGTGTGTGTGTGTGTGGTGGATACCAGGCTAAAAATAGTGGCGGTCAATTCATCAGCCTTGCAAGCTGTTGAATGGTGTAATCCCAGCACAAGTTGCTATGTCTAACATAGCTGTTCGCTATCATCGCTTCCGCGATGGGCATGTCTGAGGTCTGAGGTCTGAGGTGTGTGTGAGAGAGAGAGAGGGAGAGTGTGTGGGTGTGTGTGTGGGGGGGGGGGGGGTGAGAGAGGGTCTGTGTGTATGGGGGTTGGGGTGATATTTATGTACCTCTCTATCCATCTATCTGTCTATCTATCTATCTATCTATCTATCTATCTATCTATCTGTGTATCTCTCTACCTATCTATCTATCTACTTCCGCCGGAAACAAAAACTTCGTGACTTTTTTTCATTGATTTTCGCTTCTGTTCTGGCGCTCTCTGTGTGGCTATGTCGGCCTGAAACACTAACAGATGACATTTTAGAACAGTAGCAAGGCATGATTCACATCATGTGAAAAAGTCACGAAGTTTTTGTTTCCTGAGGAAGTACAAAGGAGTAATTTTGGCAATTGCTGCCAACCTACCTACCTACCTACCTATCTGCCTGCCGGCCTGCCTGCCTCCCTCCATCCCTCCCCCCCCCTCCCTCCCTCCATCCCTCCCCCTCCCTCCATCCATCCATCGAACCATCCATTAATCCATCCATCTTTCTATCTTTCTATCTACACGGAAAAGAGAAATAGGCCCAGTTTGGATTTGTCGTGACTCTAAGTTTCATGCCACTGCAATCATCAGACGACTGATAATATAGATTTTGAAGAAGGGCTGAGGCTTCCTGCAGCTTCATCTGTGAAAAGAATTCGGGTGGACACACCCATTCCCATAGCGCTGCACACCACTTTCGAACCAGTTCCGTTATTTTTACAACGTTTCGGCACTTGGCCATCAACAGGTAATAACAATGAATACCGTGGAAGCCACACAAGAGCAGTATATACGCAGAGTGTAGCGCCAAAAAAGATGCGAATTATGTCACCTAGTATGCAGAAGGGGGGGGGGGGGGAACAGAGAGAGAGAAAAGGCGCAACTAGCACATCACGGAGGAGAAGCAGCAGAAGGTAGCGCGCATTGTGCTCTGTGAATGGCGTTACGCAGAGTGTAGCGCCAAAAAAATAAAATGATGCCAGTTTTGTCACCTCTATACAGAGGGGGGGGGGGGGGGAGAGAAGGTGCAACTGTGCACATCACGGAGAAGAAGAGCGCGCCGTTGTGCTCTACGAAGTGAGGGTACATGCCAAATAATTATGGTGTTAATTCTAGCACATTACAGGAGGGGAGCACGGAGCCCCATGCGTCAATGCACTATGAGGTTAAACTTCAGGGCTCACAGCCGGTATGCCAAAACCTCGATTACGTTGGAGGACATATTGGATCTGATCACCATAGAAACGGGCACGCGTGACTGCTAAGCGCAGGCGTAGCACTCAAAGTCGCAAGGAGATTTTGACTTGCTTGGGCTGAGTTGCTGTGACAAGAACTGAGCCGTGGATGGTGAAGGAGACGGAGACAGTTCTCCATTTGTTTTGGTTGTTATTGTTTCCTTCCAAGTGGATTATTTCTCGAGCATTGTTGGCCTCGTCGGCCGAATTCTTCCTTCAGACTGTCCACACACGGAGTCCTGCGAGGGGTAGCCCCGAGCAGATTCCTGCATTCGTTGAACACGAAAGAGTTCAACATCTACTGCCCGGCAGCTACGCCGCTAATGCACAGGCGCGGGTGACGGGAGAGGGAGAGGACATGCACTCCTTGATGTTGAAGGCATGGAGCAATGACTCACGTAGTGTTCTAGTTTTAGTTGCTCCGCCGTGAAGTCCTGTTGTGTACAATGTAAATATACGCCTGGTCCGCTGCGAAGAGCCGCGCAACGCAGTAGTGACGATGTGGAGTTGTGAATTATTTGATTCACCACTCCGTTTCGTTGCAAGAGAACACGTCCAAAGGCTTCGCCGTTGTGCTGGCCATGTATTTCTTCAGTCGGCCATAACTCTTGAAGGACACATCGATGAAGCGCCAGACGAGTAGCAAAACATTTCGAAAATTCGCCTTGCTGTAGTGTTGTTTCCGCATTCACAACCGGTCCAGCGCGCGCGGTTCTTCCTCGCACCTGTACTGCAGATAGCGTCGCCTTCGAAATGTTCGTTTGTACCCGTCTCTTGCCCGATTTTGATGGCCAATAGCTTAAAATTTTCAGTAGGAAAATTAGAAGAATTTGTCCGAGAGACTTTTCAATTTTAGGACAATAATTCATGTCAGAATTACGCCTGCACCAACTGATACTTTGGCCCCGTATGTACGCCAAACCGTATCGATTAAAACAAAAAACTCTTGGACAAATCCTTACAATGGGTATTGAGAGTATGTTCCTAGAGTTTGAAAGGCCTAGGAGAAAGCACGTGAGATAATTGCCTGATCGCATGTACACGATTCTGGCATACTGCCTGGCTCGCGTGACAGCTCGCGTGACAGCGGCCTGTCCAAAATGGCGCCCACGCTTTTGTACGCGGCTGTGAGCCCTGAACTTCCATGCCAAACTGTTACCACCAGGGACGCGACGAGGCATCAGGACTAGAATGGATTTGAGTGACCCGCCTCATATTATAATTATTCAGTGATATTGAAGTAGCAGCAGGGGAAGCTGAGAAAATTCACAACAAATCCCATCCGGTACTTATGTTCACATGGGGCTTGGCATCACGAATCTCAATCGCCTCGCGCAGTTTGCGACGGGCTCGATCAGGCTCTCTTCCTATTACTTCAACTGCAGAGAATGCACTTTGCCCATAGTTAAGCTTGCATCCAGGGTGAGTGGTACGAAAATGTTGGCCCCATGGCTTGTCGAGTTCCTGTCGTCTTGCCTCACCATTATGTTCTTCCAGGCGAGTTTCCAGAAAGCGACCAGTCTCCCCAACATATTGTTACAGGCATTCTTTGCACTTCAGCTGATATACAACATTCTTCTGCATACATACATCCTGTCCCCCGGATATACACGAGATACACGGCCCCTTTGGGCGACCTTTCTTTTCGGTTGTAGCGGATTTGCAGCCTTGACACATAGAGGAAGAACGAGGGCGGAGTGACTCAATGTTCGCCTGAGGCTACCAGTGTGCTCATATACGACTCTAACAGGAATTATATACTTTCTGATTGCTTTATTCACTGCTTGATGTACTTTGTCTGACTTATATGGAAGCTTTAGAAATGCACAGCATGGGTTGGCATGGCGACGGCGCTTTGGCCTTGTGGAGGCAATGCGTGCCTCTTCAATGATTCTCTCTGGGTAGTTGTTCAATCTTAATTGTTCATGAACCCTCGCTTCACTTTCTGCACGCATTCTGGTATTCGATGAGAGCCTCTCAGCTCTTAGGAATTGTGACGAAGCAACTGCCAATTTGATATGGTGGGGAACTGCCGAAGTATAATCAATGAGTAGACCACTAGCACATGCCTTCTGGTACAGCTTGTATGCTAGCTTGCCTTCCTGGATCATAATTGGGATATCCATATAATTTATGGAGCCACTCACCTCGCTGAGCTCATAATTATGTGAAGTTGACACTTGGGTGTGCAGAGTTGAAATGCTGCACAAACCGCATCAAGCTCTCTCTGCCGTGGGTCCATAGCAGCAGGATATCGTCGATGTAGCGTTTGTAGAGGAGCGGTACTAACAGAGGATTCTGCAGAAGCCTGGCCTCAACCGTATGCATGAATAGAATCGCAAATGGGGGTGCAAGATTGTTACCCATTGCAACCCCGTCCACTTGGTGATAGATCTGAAGGTCGAATCTGAAATAGTTGTGGCTGAGAACAAACAGCAGCAGATTCCGTACCCCGCTCACACTCAGCCCAAACATGTTGATCCGCTAGGAATACTGCTGCAGCATATCCACCACTGCCTGAACGCCCTCCCGAATAGGTATGCTCGGATATAACCCGACTACATCCATGGACATAACAATGGTGCCATCGGGGGCGTTCAATCCCGGACATGGGTAACAGATGTGGGTTATTGCTTCCGTCGTGTTAGCCAGGTGGGCCGAGACAAATTGAATGAGCTGCTGTAGGATGCGCTCCAATACAATAGATACTCCAGTCGTTGGGCTGTCGCACGCTGCTACCCCGGGGCGCAATGGTAAGTTCTGCTTATGGTCCTTTGGAAGACCGTACCACTCGGGGAACTTCGTACTGTTTGCTTGGTAGGATTGACTTTAGGAGTTTTGAATCCATGTTCTTGCACTCTGACAGTATTACTTCTCGTGTGTTGGTTTCGTAGGACTCTATGGTCAAATCTACGTCCTCATACATGGTCATGTTCGATAATATGTCTTCTGCTTTCTGCAAATACAGCTCCTGTCTCATAGCAACGAGTTTTTTACTTTCATCCGATGGTTTCATGATGGTTTCTTGGTCTGTGCGAAGTCGCTTCAGCTCCACCTGCGTCAGATTGGGATTGGAGGGTGTGTGTCTGTCATATGCCCGTAA